GTCTCATCAGCACCGCCGGCGCGACTCGAACCATAACAACTGAGCACATAATCTCGACACGTTCACCACCCCACCATCTACCGCCACAAGTACCCTTGGGTCACAGAGCAGATGTGAATAGCAAGGATGGCCATGCCCGCCCCTATTTCACACTCTGTGGTGGGATTATCGATGCAGTAAATTTTCTAGTTGCCTTAGCAATCGACTACGTTAGTTAGATTTTGTACATTTTCTAGTAGGTTTTCGAGACTACCAACCAGCAGAGCAGTGATACGAGATGAGATCGACAATGCTTTCTTGGAATTCACATTGCTCTCCTGGAACTGTGACGTAATAGTTAATGTTGACCTGTCGTGTTTTTCAGTTGCGCTGGAAGCGCTGATGCGACCAGCTCAGGCGAGCTCGAAAGTGCAGTCCGTTCTAGCCGGGAAGAGAATGACTTTAGAGCAAACAAGACGATGTGAGTTGCTATGGACGGGCGAGGTGTATTCATCAGATTGTAGGAGATTTCAACTATCAGTCCTCTTGTCATCGTAAGCGAAATGGGGTGTATACTCCTCATGTCTAGGATCGACTAGCAGTCTCGAAAACCGACTTGGAAACGAAAAATAAGCAGCTCAAGGACTTGTCGGCGAGACAACGTGTCGCTACGCTTCATTTTGCGTCGAGTGTGTGAAGTGGAAACGGCCATCCAGTCCAGTCCGGATGATCGTTTGCTTTTGGACGCAAGAAAAGGGAAAATATTGCTTTAATAATGTGGTCATAGTTGAAGTGAACCCATTTTGGGCCAGCTATTACCACCGACTAAATTACATTCGAGACCATCAGTACAGACTCACGACAGTTCAATTTTCCCACAATCAGTTGAGCAAGCCACAGGCTACATTCGCTGGTATCCACCTGATTGTGAGAAAACTCAAATTGGCAATACTTGCAGTTACACACACACACACATGTGCACTTTGAGCCAAAAGGGGCATTATGTTTATTTGCTTCTCAGACTGTTGCTGACGAGGCATGCATGTATTTTCCATTACAATTCATCATATTACTGTATATAACAACTAAGTATGCCAGGTCGTTGAAGGCGATGTAAGAAGTGATTTTTTTGGAAACTACTTATTGTGTATAGAGTAGTGTGTTGTATTGTAATAGCTGACATGCTCTGAATATAAGTTCAGCCAGAGCCGACTCGAAACCGAATCATTCGCTAGCAATGAATGTATAAGCTGATTGACGATGTAGCGATGTCGCTGCTGCTAATAGTGAAGAAGAAGAACAAGAACAAGAACAAGAAGAACAAAAAGAAGAAGAAGAAGAAGAAGAAGAGGAATGAAAAGAAAAAAGAAGGAAGAAAATAAGAAGCAGAATAAGCAGAAATTGAAGAAGGACAAGTTCAGGAAGAGAAGAAGAAAATCAAAATAAGAAGAAGGACAGAAGTAGATGAAAAAACTAAGAAGAATGAGAAAAAGAGGAAAGAACGAATAGAATATAGAAGTACAAGGAGAGAAGAATAAAAAGTAGAAAATGAATATGAAAAGAAGCAAAAAAAGAATAAGAACAGAAGTAGAATAAGGAGAAAATATGAAGAATAGAGAAAGAAGAAGAAGCAGAAGCGGAAGAAGGACAAGTTCAGGAAGATAAGAAGAAAAGCAAAAGAAGAAAAAGAACATAAATAGAAGAAGAAAAGGAGAAGAATGAGAAAAAGAGGAAAGAACGAATAGAATAGAAAAGTAAAAGAAGTAAAAAATGGATAGCAAAAGAAGGAAAAGAAGAAGAAGAAGGAGGAGGAGGATGAGAAGAAGGATAAGAAGCAGAAACGGAAGCGGAAGGAGATGGAGAATGAGGATGGGCTGAAAGGGGCTGAGGTGTAGTTGACGCATTGGTTGGTGCTCGAGAGGGGCAAGCTGGCTGCAATCTTGGCCTTGGGGCCGATTGCAAATGCGTTGGGTCATCTGCTCGCTGTTGGACGGCGTCCGAAGCAGAGCAGAGCAGACGAGTCTGCAAAAGTGGAGAGAGTAAAAGCACTGTCACCCCGAAGCTGACTCGACCGCCTTCATTATCGCCTTCGTAGGGCATTAATCCCGGCCACATTTACTCGTCCCCTCTTGCCCAAACACGACCTGATACCGAGCGGCTGACACGCTGAAAGGCGAAGAGGCGGAGAGGCTGAGAGGCCGAGTGAGCTGGCGTCAAATGGAGGCCGAACTCCCAACGGACTCTTGCCTGACCGCCTTTATTGCCTCGGACGGTTGGCTGGTTGGCCGAGGCGGCATTAACAGCCCGACGGAACGGATCCAGCCCGAGGGGGTGTGGCGGGATGGGCGAATGCGCTTTGTCAACCGCATCTCTACTCACAGCTCATCTGCACCGGTGGCAAGGACACATACACACACACACACACACAAACACACATATATATATGTATGTGTATGTGTGTGTCTTAGGTTTGCATCAAAGTTGACACTTAGTCTTGCTTCCCGAAAGGTATTGTCCTCCCGAATGGACTGGACTGAACTGAACTGCAGTTTCCACTTGGCTTGAACTGCTTTCATCGCCGTACCCGGCGGGACTCGAACCCGTCCTCCACTAGTGCAGCGTACGGCCTCGACCTGTTCGCCAATCCGCCCACTTGCCGCGAATGTCCTTGTGTCGCGGAGCAGATGTGATTTCATGGCCGACTCAAGTGGTTGTGGGAAAATTGAACCAACTGTCCGTCCTCGCCTGAAAATAAAATGGATTGTCAACATCTCATGTGGCAGATGTAGCGGGGCTCTCGAGAAGCTAGTCCATACACGAAGTGGGTTGACCTCGTTGTCGCAACTTGGTCTTGTTGTCAGGGCGACTTAGTAGAACGCATCTAGTCCGAAGTTGTCTGCCAGAGTAGTTGTCATGATTCCCAGCTTCAGACAGTCGACTTGGTACATTCTCAAAAGTTTCGCCGGCATCGTAGTCGGCATCATCAGTCAGTTTTGCCATTCTCCACACCAACCTACGAACTCGTCAAAGAGACAAGTCACGTCAATCCCTCGAAAAACATTCTGCCGAAAACGGTTGTCGAGGGATTGACTTCACTTGTCTCTTTGACGAGTTCGTATCTTGGCGCGGAGAATGGCAAGTCTCACTGATGATGCTGACTACGTTGCCGGCGAAACTTTTGAGAATGTACCAAGTCGACTGTCTGATGCTGGGAATCATGACAACTACTATGGCATACGACTTCGGACTAGGTACGTTCTACTAAGTCGCCTTGACAACAAGACCAAGTTGCGACAACGGGGTCAACCCACTTCTACAACTCTCGGTTGCCGCCTTTGCTGAACAACGAGGACGGTGTCTGTCTAGAGTGCCAAACAGGCTCCGTTTGTAACCATTCGAGTCGGCAGGACGCAAAATAGAGTCTCCTGATGCCCATCGAATGCGACCTCGAATGAAACCGGGCTCGGCTGTACAAATATTTGATACACTCTAAGCAACCGTTTGTATGCCATTTTCAGGTGTTTTCTGACGTTAAGTCTGAGAGTGAGTTATTCAGACAATGTCATCATGAATAAAAACTCTCTTTATAAAATGTTGATTGCAGTTTTTCGACGATTATTAACAAATGTAATTTCGCCTCATACGTGGGGTGGGATCAAGCTCTCTTCTTCCGCAAATCCAACCTATGAAGGAGGTGTTCTGACCACGTTTTCGCTACTTGATCGTGTTGTCATAGCGATCCAGTTGGAAGAAACTTATTTTCGTATTGGAGTAGAATTTCGAGACTACCAGTAAATCATTAATATGAGATGTATTCACCCTATTTCGTCTATGCTGATGAAGGACTGGTAGTAAAGTTTTCCCACAATCATATGAGTTGAGCTGACGTTTCCTTTGAATTTCACATTGCCACGAGTACCCTTAAGTCACAGGGCATAAGTGAATTTCAAGGAAGGTCAGGCCTTTTTGCCATATCACATTCTTTGGTGGGATTGCCGATGAAGCAAACGTATATTTGCTATAGCAATCGACTACGTTACTAGCATTCTACATGCTCTCTCGACGTACACCACTCTAACGCAAACCAAAATGGGTAAAATTAAAAGAGGAGAGAATGTGAAAGTAAATCAGGAAGAAGTAAAATAAATACTTTATTTTTCGAATTAATTAGTGTTTTCGAGACTACCAGTAAATCAGTAGTATGAGATGTATTTACCCAATTTCGTTTAGGGTGATGAAGGAGCGCAGTTTCATGAGTTGGCTAAACATTTGATCTGTTGGAACCACTTTGGTTGAGACAATTAGGTAAACTGATTTACCCCATGTTGCTCTTGTTGCATATGCACACACACAGCCACATACATGCATACAGAATACATAATAAAGGCATCTCTCTTAATAACAAAAGTTTGCTACTAAACGTGAAGAAGAGTCCTAGTCATTCTAGGGCACTTTATGTGAATTAAGCAATACTACTTAAATTGTCTACAACCAATTTAGTGTAGAAATGCACTTTGCCTTTTGCCCAAAAAATTGTTTTTCATTTCGAACACAGAACCGTCAAATGATTGCGGCGAAAGGGAACCTCTTTCCTATTCCGATAAAGTAGGTCTATAAATTTGCAATTGATCTTAAATAAGAGTGTCAGCCAAACTTGGTCGCAGAAGGTGATGAAGGACTGATGATGAATTCTTCCACGATGATATGAGCAAGCCGCACGTTTCCAGGGCATTTCACGTGGCCATGCTTCCCAAAAGGTGAACTTGCACACGATGAACTGTAATGAAGTTGAGACCTCGCCAAAACCGATCTTAACAGCACCATGAGCGGGAATCGAACTTGGTCTTTGGCAGTACAAGGCATAATCTCGAATTGTTGCCACTTCATTGCATTGCCATGGCTGCCCGTTTCACAAGAGAGACATGAATCTCAAGGAAGGACAGACTTCTATTGCATATCACATTATCGTACATTGTCATCGCCGAGAGGGCAAACTTGTATTTCGCCTCCTTTTCGTTTTAAGTAGGTTGCCAATACTGCCAGTAGATCTTGAATAAGAACTGATTCAATCTTATTTTATTTAAGCTGATGCAGAACTGGTTACTGAATTTGACAACAACGCCTCACGCTTCCAACAAGATGAAAATAAGTAATGCATTCGATGCCTATGGCAACTAGAACTTTGTTTCTTCGAAACTCCGAGCACTTGATGTGATATGAAAAAAAGCCTGGCCTTGCTTGGCATTCACATCTACCCCGCGACCCAAGGGCACTTGTGGTAGTCTGACGTTGGGGTTAATGTGTCGAGGCTATACGCTGCACTAGCACAACCCGGGTTCGAGTCCCGCTGGGAGTGCTGATGAGACGAGTTTAGGCGAGGGCGAGGCTGTAGTCCAGCTTGGATGCTGACACTTTTCGAGAAGCAAGAATAGGTGAAATTAAATGGAGGCATGAGGTTTGCTCGTACAATTGGGGGAAAACTGGTCCACGATTTCTTCATCGCCTTAATTGAAGTAGAGTGGATTCACTTCATATAATATTTATATTTATATATATATACATTTGTCTATCTCTACTTCTTCGTGTCTAAGGCTCATCGTATTTACATAGGCCCAATCTTGGGCTCAAATCTTGTTTATCCTTTTTCTCATATTATCTTTTCCCCATTGCAACTTGATGAACAACTCTTTATTGTTTGCCATCATGAAAAATACTAGCAAACTCAAGTAAGCCCGATTAATG